CTTTCCACCCCAGAATAGCCTACAGCCTGTATGGGAACTAAATTCCCTGCATTCCTTCAAAAGTACTATTGAACCAAATTGCTAAAAACCACAAGCCGAGAAAATTCAGATGTTTGTAGACATAAATGTTATGTGCGCTTAAATGCTATTTAGACAAGGAAAGGGGTGTGCAAGCCTTAATTTTAACTTTAATCCCTGGGGATATGTTTAGGTTGGGAAAGGATTGAGCAACATCACTTCCTTATGAGGTGTTTAGGCGTGTTCTGTGAATGGGGGATTGACCGCGTTCTCTATCTCATGCTAATACAAGAAGTCGAAACTGTCCTGTACGAAGAAACCAGTTAATCTTTTTTTTGTTGGTTTGAAAGAGTTTTTGTCTCAGGTATTTACAACTTAAAATACAATCACTGTTACCGTTTTCTTTGGAGTTTTTGTAATGGGAGTTTGACTTTTAAGTGCGCACGTTCACTCTTCATTGGACTTCAGGGAAAGAGGTAAAAGGCCACAGGTGAGCCTCGGGTAAATTCACACGCTTTTTATAATCAATAATACATTTTCTCCTTTTGGTGTTTAGACGTTTCTGTAACATACCCGCGAAACAGGTAACATTTTAGTTATTTCATTGTATATAGGCTACCTAAATGTATTTACAATTCCGTGACCATGCGAAAATCAAAGCTGGTTACACTGTGACACTGTTTGTTTATCGATTGTTATAAATTGCGGGTCAAGTTGCATATTAATATTTATTATCGACAACACGAGATTCGTTAAAACTTGTTTATGTAGGCTACTTTCCTAAAACCTACATTACAGTGGAAATCTTTCTCTTAAAGATATATATTGCGTAATTATTCAGTCATCTCATTTCAAATTCGCAAAATTCCATAACCATAGTTTCCATAACCAAATATTAAAGTACCAAACATGGGAACGCCTTCAAGCTGTGTTATTTTTTTATTTATTGATAACAGTGGTGTCTACCACGTTACTACAGTTTAACTAGCCTATAGTGTGGTGTTAACTGATAAAATGTAACCCTAACAAGTCTTTTTGGATTCAAGCTGCCAAATGCATAAATGTAGCCTATTTTGGTGGATGGTTAGCTGTCTGCTACGTATTTGTATGATATTCTCTTTTTGCTATAAAATGCATATTGTACAAAATTGATCCCATAACATTTAAATTAAAACATAATTTCATCATTTAATTTTAAAAGTAAAATGTGGTGTCAAAAATTCATCACACTTTAATTTCAGTACTTAAAATCAGAGTTTATTTATCAAATTCATAATGAAGCATGCATGATTTTTGTAGCAAAGCAGTATAATACGCTATATACAAAATGGAGGGAAGAACTTTTCAATTCAAAAGTTTTTTAATCATTTTAATGAGGGTTGCATTGTTGTTCTTTAGCAGTCTTATTGCCAAGTTACTGACAAGATACTGTAAATGGATGGAATGGATGTTCTGACGTAATGATGAAAGCATTTTTACAGTGTACATATTAATCTCTCTTTCTTCTGTTTTTGTCTTTTTTCTGTTCAAAGGTCCTGGTTATCTTCATCATGTGTTAGCAGTAGCAGTGCAATTCTTTCACCTCAGGTTACATAGGACAGCGGAGATGTTCATCAGCCCCAGGACCTTGTTAAAATGTGTCTGGTTGCAGATGCATCTTACATGTGCACTAAAATCATGTCCTACAGTCCCACAAATGAATGTAAACTTTTCTGTTACCTATTCTGTCTCTTTTTTCCAAACCGCAAAAGCCATACAGAACATAGTTGTAAATGAAAATTTTAATGAGGTTTATGTGGCCTCTCAAAACGTGGTTGAAGCCTTGGACAAAAATCTCACCAAACTATGGAAAATAAGAACCGGGCCAGTTGGCAGTTCAGATTGTGAAACCTGTCATTGTGATATTGAGAATGAACCGGGAATGCCACTGGACACAGATAACCAAGTTCTTGTTTTAGAGCCTCAGGGCTATTTTGACTTCCTGTACATCTGTGGGAGCACACAGTTTGGAGTCTGTAACTTCCTTGAACTTAATCAAAGCGAAAGACCCTCAAACCCTGAATGTTTTTTTGATAAAAGGGCCAACTCACCCTTAGCTTGTCCTGACTGTGTCGCTAGTCCTCTGGGAACAAAGGTCAGCGCGGTCAAAGATGGTTTTTCAACGTATTTCTTTACAGCAGCTACCATCAATACCACCATTGCTGGATCTTTTGGCAAACAGTCCCTTTCTATTCGTCGCTTGCTTGCCACAGAAAATGGTTTTGACAGCCAAGTGAAGGGTCTGACAGTTCTTCCTGAATTTCAGGATACATTTACCATCGACTACATCTATACGTTCTCTACGATAGAATATGTGTATTTCTTATCTGTACAGTGGGAGAGCCCGATGAAACCGAACGCCAAGTTGCAGACCCATCTTGGGCGGCTGCCGATCAAGGACAGTGAGCCTTGGATGTACAGGGAAATCGTTCTGGAATGCCGCTTTGAGCCCAAACGCAGGAGAAGGAGCTCATGGATTAAGGATATTGTGTACAACTCGGTTCAAGCTGCTCATTTCAGTACGGCAGGCAAGGAGCTGGCTGATGAGATAGGAGTGAAGATGGACAGTCCAATTCTTTATGGGGTGTTTGCTGAAACAGATGAAAAGGGGAATCCTATCAGAAAGTCTGCCTTGTGCGCATTTCCAATAGGTGATGTAAACAGTGAGATTGAGGAAGGGGTAGAGTCCTGCTGTTCAAGTGGGACAGAGCAGCTCTCTCGGGGATTGTGCCATTTTCAGCCCTGTGAAATGTGCCCACATGAGGTGAGTTTGTATTTCTCACTGCAGCTTCTTGACAATTGGCAGTTCAATTTTAAGTTAGTTTGGTCTTGTTTATTAATAAATCCGTGTCTCCATCCTGCTCCTGAGAACCCATCCCCCTTTTTAGGTGTCTGGGGCAGAGCTGGGTAGTAACTGATTAGATGTAATCTGGATTACATAATCAGATTCCAAAAATGAAGTACTTGTAATTAGATTAAATGACATTTTAAAATACTCATAATCAGACTGCAGTTACTTTTTTATTGATTACATGATTACATATTATTCACACAATGACGATAAATTGTTCATAATTTATTGATTCTCCCTAATTCCTCTTTTTCATCTTTTAATCATTTCTTTTTGAACTAGGCTACTGCTTATTTACACTCAGAAAGTTTTCCAGTTTTGTGGGCATTCACACAAAGACCAGTCACTTGACCATTGGATTTACAAAAATTATTTCAGTTTTAAGAAGTGTTTTCTTAGCATTTCAACATTACATCAACTACTGATGAACATATTAATTTTTCTTTGAATTATCACTCAGTAGCACTTTAACCATGCATTTCTATGTCTTTGGAAGGATTTTGTCTTGCAAACACGTTAAAATGCACAAATTCACGTTATTTCTTATTTACATGTAATGCAGTCATTCCTAAACTTTTTTGTCATCTGAACATCTTTCACCTAATATATTTGCTTGAAGTACCCAGAGATTTTAAAATAAATATTTTAATAATTAAGTATCACATTTGCATGTTCACGGTTCTCGGTTGGTTAGGGGTCACATGACGTGCAGATAAACAAATAAAAGATTTAATTTTTTTAGAAAGTGTTTTATTTTGATTATTGTTATTTTACAATGACTTTTTTATTTTGCATTTTTTATGATTTATTCATTATTAGCTTTTCATTAAACTCACAAAGCCCCTGCAGTTCCTATACAAACCCCAGTTTGGAAAACCTTGATGTAATGGAATGTTTAATGCACTTCATGTTGTTAATTTCAATGAATGGAATATATTTTCTTACTCTTTGTATTTTTATATCAATACGGTACAAGATTATCCTATTTAAATTAATGTGATAAATGACTTAGGTCAAAAGTAATGTAAAAGTAATCAAAAAGTACTCTGATTACATTACCTAAAATGTCTGTGTAATGTAATGGATTATGCTACTAACTCCAATTTTTTGTCATGTAATGTGGAATCAGTAACAGACTAAAATAAAGGTGCTTCACGATGCCATAGAAGAACCTTTTTGTCTAAATGGTTCCATAAAGAACCTTTAACATCTGAAGAACCTTTCTGTTTCACAAAAGGTTCTTTGTGGCGAAAGAAGGTTCTTCAGATTACAAAAAGGTAAGAAAGAGATGGTTCTTTAAAGAACCTTTGACTGAATGTTTATAATTCTATGGCATCGCGTGAAGAACCTTTTGAAGCACCTTTATTTTTAAGAGTGTACAATTTCTAAGTAATCTACCCAGCTCTGTCTAGGGGATGCCCAACAGAGGGGAAAATAGCAGAAAAGCGTAATTAGTCGAGTTTTGTTTAGCAGTTGGGCTGGTTTGAACAGCATAGAAATGTTCTCAATGCCCTAGCAACCCCCAAAACACCATAGTAACTTCTTAGCAATGCCCTAGCAACCCCCAAACACCATAGCAATTGCCTCACAATGCTGTAGCAACCCCCAGAACACACTAGGAACCCTATGAACCCCTCAGCAACATCATAGCAACCACGCAACATGCCCTAGCAATCTTACATTAACCTCCAGAACACTCTGGCAACCACCTATAGTAATGACCACTCAACCACTCAGATTACCTCAGCAACCACTTAGCAACACCATCTATCTAAGTTATTCTCAATGTTATTTTGTCTTACTGAAAAGGCTGAATGAGTAATTTCATGGCATTTTATGTTTCTTCCTGTACCTTAAGACTTGTCCCCATCTTGTGTTTATTTAAAGGGTTTATATAATTGGTCTAGTTTATATTTCACAACCTATACCTTAAAAGGAGTGGACCATAGAATATTTGATGGTTAGTGAAGCCAGTTTCAGGAAATGACTCACACAAACATTTGATTTTCGTTTAAACTCATGTGCGGCTGCACTTGCTCAGGGATCACTCTGTGAGAGTCAGGCTTTATCATACACTGTTTTGCATGTGGCTTGGAAGTCTCTGTTGTGTTGTTCGATTCATGAAGTCACTTTTTGTTTTGTAGATACCAGCCGCCACATGCTCATACATGAACTGTAATACGTCACGCAAAACCTTACTGTTGGACTGAACTTTCTGTGGCAGACGGTTGTGCCGAGTGTGGCTTTATCTCTCACAGTCTTAAACAGGCAATGAGCCAGAGCTGATAAATCAAGGAAAGCATTTAGTTTCAGGATGTTCAATACTGACGTCAACAGTTTGTTTTTAACCAGTAGAAACAAGTATACTGAGGAGGTTGGCTGAAATAAAACCAGATTTACAATGCAAAGTCCTGTAGTTATAGATATTAATTTTAACACGTCCATTGTGAATAATTTCTGGACATTCCACCCTGTATATCTTACTTACATAGGTTTTGTGTTTTTCCTTTTATATTTTACTTTTTATATACATATTTTCCATTATTTTACAGAATATTTTAATCCGTTTATCAGTTGTTCTAAAAAAAATAAATAAATCTTTCCTTATTTACTCAACGTTCCAAAGAGAAATTCTGAAGAATATGCTGACAACCACTGGATCACCGGGCTGGAGAACTGGATCAGTCAGTTTCAAAAGCACATAATTCTGACAACAAAAGAAAAATGTATCTTATGAACTCGTATGAATGTGCCTCCTTGATGTAGGTCCAGATTTCCAGTGAACAATAACTAAAATTCATCTCACAATGTTATCATTTTAATTCAGAAGAATTGAAATATCACAAATGTGTTGTATGGACCACTTTAATTATACTTTTAAGGTATCCTAAATCGTAAAATGTGTTTACCATGGGAGCAAAAAAGTCAACATAAACGGTATGACAACATCTGCTCTTAATCTTATTAATTTCTACAGCAATGGAAATTAAATCCGGACAGTACATGTTTGTTTTCTAATTATTCAGTTAGTGTTACCACTAACAGACTGCACATATCCCTCAAATCTTAATTTGGTACAAGGGTTAATGCTTTAGGGGCAGGAAATCATTTATTACTGCCAGATGGTGTCTGTAGCCTTCCGTTTACAAGTTGTTGCTTCCGTTTCACTGGGGTTGATGTTAAAGTGCATGCATTTTTGTCTGTCACAGTGTCATCCTTTTAAAGTCAGTAAAAAAAAATCATAAACAAACATGGCACAGGAAATGGACAATGAGGAAAAATTTTCATTTGAAAAAGTGTACAATAATGTTGCTGTTTTTTTAACAGTCCATTGAGCTTCAAATGCAGGCAGAACATATAGAGTGTACAGGTGCATCTCAATAAATTAGAATGTCGTGGAAAAGTTCATTTATTTCAGTAATTCAATTACTGATTTTGCAGTTTTCATTTTGTCAGATTGGCACTTTCTGTGTATGCCGTGATTTTTTTTTAAATGTATTTCTTGCAAAGTAATGAAAAGTTGCATGAAAAAAGTTTTTATATTCACTAAATATATTTATTCACTCAATATTATGTTTTTTTGTCTAGAACCCAGATGATTTGACTTGCAACGCTATCCCCACAATGGTGGCAAAGCCTTGCTACAGAGTGGACTTCTTCGATAGGCGGATGAACAATGTGCTCTTCACTTCTATTCTGGTGACCACCATTGAGACCAAGACTGTGGCACACATCGGCACGGATGATGGAAGGCTCTTGCAGGTTATTAGGACACTCTTTTTTTGGTAGAAACTGATTCCATTTTAAATACTGTGAATAATGATTGGCACCTTACTGAAGTTTAATGGGGAGCTAACATATGTGTTGCTGAGGTCTATTTAAAGTGTTTCAGACACCAATCTATCATCTCATTTCCCCTAAATAGTCATTTATATTTCACAATTCTTACTTTTTTCTGAGGTGTAAACTCACAATTACAAGGGAAAAAGTCAGAATTGAATGATAGTCACAATTCTGAGAAAAAAAGTCATAAAACTGAGTTTATATCTTGCAGTTCTGAGAAGAAAAGTCCAAATGTTCCAAAGTCCACGAAGTCAATAAAAATCAGAATTGTGATACAAAAAGTTGCAATTTACTTTTTTATGTTTTTTTTTCCGTGGTGGAAAAAAACAGAATTGCAAGATGTAAACTTTCATATCTCGTAATTCTGACCTTTTTTAATCAGATTTGCGAATTATATATTGCTTAATTGCAACTGCATAGTGGCTTCCACTGAATCCTCTCCTTACCAGCTGAACATTAAAGTTCATATCTTTCCTGCTAGTCAGTGGCCAATACGATCATAAGCCGGGCTTTTGTTGGCTCCCTATATTGGATGGATACAGTGAATTATTTTTGCCCTTTTAAGGACAAATATCATGTATATTTCATATTTGTGTAGCTGTGACTAAGTATGCTGTGTAGTTTTGGCCCTTGACAGACAAAAAAAAACAACTTTACTTTTCAGGTTATTCTGAGCAGATCGTCCCTTGTAGTGTTTGCCAACTACTCTCTTGTGGAAGAAATGCAGAAAGTGTCACGAATAGCTGCCGTTCATTCTTCCGAGTCTCTGCTCTTTGTCGTTGGAAACAAGGTATGCACGTTTATTCTGTACAGTTCAAAAGCTTATCAGCCATCAGTGGTGAATTAAAGGTTTAATGTTTAAAATATACAGACTGAAAGTGACTCATAGTTTTCATCTGCATTTTTCTGTCAAACCTGTCTCTCTTCATCCTGTATGTGCAGCTGATAAATGTGTCTCCCAGAGGTCCAGGCTGTGCCCATTTCTTCAACTGTTCAGTGTGTTTAGCGGCCCCCAAGTTTATGGGATGTGGCTGGTGTGATGGAGTCTGTTCCCAGATGCATCAGTGTAAGGATCAGTGGAGCAGCAACTCCTGCCCTCCAGTAATCACCCAGGTAACGCATTGCATAATTGGGCAATAAATGTGACAATAAACTGTCTGTCTTTTCAGTTTGCGTTTCTAATATACAGTGAGTGTGTACTGATAATATGAAGGCTGCTTCAGAGTCATTGTAGTCATATCAGGGCAGGGCTGTGTTAACAACCACAGTACCTGTTGGACTCTCCCCCCTGTATCACACTGGACGGAATGCCAGCTTTGTCTGTGAAACAAGAACCTTTATTTTTGTAATATGTTCCACATTTTAGATAGTAAAATTAAATAAAACAAACGGAAGTATGAAAATTATGTAGTGACACAAAAACAAAGCTATATTGTATAGTAAGATGCTATGCTGAGCATTTGTTGGCTGTTACTTTGCTTCCCAGTCCTTAGAAAAAAATAATTAAAATTAAAAAATGTTAACAAACTATACAAAAGTCATATACTACCATGATTTCTACAATGATATCTGAAGGACTGGACTCTGGAGTAATGACTGCTCAAATTTCAGTTTTTCCATGAAAGAAATAAATTACATTTTGAAATATATCAAAATAGAAAATGACATTTTAGATTGTAATAATATTTCACATTCTTTTCTTTTTATTAAAGTTTTTTTTTTTGCCGTTCTTTTATAACAATAGGACAGTCTAGATCTGAGAGGAAGAGAAGTGGGAGAGATGGTGGGGGGGGTGTCGGGTAAGGTCTGTGAGCTGGGATTCGAACTCGGGACGCCCGTAGTGCAATGGCGCTGTAACTTGGCACTGACTAATATTTCACAATATTACTATTTTTTCTGTATTTCTTATTAAATAAATGCAGCCTTGGTGAGTGTAAGAGACTTCTTACAAAAACATTTTTAAAAAATGTATCAAACTTTTCAATGCTGGTGTAAATTTATATTTGTCTGTGCAAATTTCAAGCATCTAAGCAAAAGCGTTTAGTTTAAAAAGCTATCAAGAACTTTATGTATAACCCTAAAACTTAATTTTTTGCGCTTTTGCTTTTCAGTTTTTCCCCAGCATGGTGCCCTCAAATGGTAAGAGTGAAATCACTCTTTGCGGCTGGAACTTCCAGTCATCTTTCCGACCTGCTATCACTCAAACCTCTCACCAGGTTTACGTGGGAAAAAGTAGCTGCACTGTTATACCAGAAAAAAGCAGTAGCTCCCAGTAAGTAACACACACATTGTAGTTTCTCCACAAAAAAAAAAAAAGAAGATAAATACAGAACAGTTCTTTCCTACTGAAACAGGAAGTTGTGGCAGATGCATATTAAAGAGAGAGATTTTTGTCATTTTTCCACCCAAAAATATTCAATACCCTTTAGTTTATGTTACAGATAACCTTTGTAACCTCACACATACATATGTGCTCATCAGTGTTATTTTATATACTATTATAGTATTTATTCATATTTTGAATTAGCTTTTATTTTTTTATTTTCAGTTTTTAATAGTAATTTTAGTTTAAGTTTTAGTACGTATAGTCATTTTATTAGGCTTTTTTATCTATCATTTATATTCTATTTTATGTCGGGTTCATTTCAATGAACAAAACCAATTTTGAATAGTTTTGGTTAACAATAACAACATAAATGTATTTATAAATGTAATTTTTCATTCTTCACTAAGGCTGGTGTGTAGGATTGATGGTGAGGTGTCAGGCCTGGAGCGAACTGTTGATATAACAATACAAGTGGATGAAAAGAGCGTGGAAAGTGGATACTTCATCTCTGGGAAGGCTAGCATACAAGGCTTCAGTTTTGTGGTAATGAGAAAAACATTCTCAATCTTTAATTACCTAACTTAAATATGGTTTAACACATGGATAGGGTATTAAGAAATATTGGATTGTGGTACTGCTGCTGATGAACTGGATAAATGAAAGTTTTGAAAATGAAAATTTCCTTTGTAGTATTTTGCCATTTTAGATTGATAACGCTCTTATCATACCTCCTATCTCCCATAAGACCCCAGAAATCACAGATATCAGTCCAGGCTTAGGACCTAAGATTGGAGGAACCCTGATCACCCTGTCAGGAAAATATCTGGATGCTGGTGGAAGCAGAACGGTCAGCCTTGGAGACAGAATTTGCCCTGTTCAAAGGTTATTGTGCCAGGTTACGAAATTCACTGTTTAAGAGTTATAAGTGAAGGTTTAGAAATATAAGAGTGCCAGTCTAGTACAGTGTTTCCCAACCGGGGTGCCGCGGCACCCTGGGGTGCCGTCTGTCGAGAGCAGGGGTGCCGTGTAAAAAAATCATTTTTTAATATTTTAAAATTGATTAAAAAAAAAAAGCATCTATTATATAATATCCATTTCTGATGTCGCCAATAATTAGAGATGCACCGAAATTTCGGCTGCCGAATTAGTTCACCGCTCAGGTTTCACTTTCACGTGGTGTGACGCTCTGTGTATTATTCCGCTCTATGCGTGTGCGCTCCGCTCAGCTCCACTCACACCGTTCATGCGAATCGGAACAGCAAAGTCCACTCAAAAATTGAGCCGACAGGAAACATCCATTGTTTGTAACCACTGAGCTTTGAGTATTTTCCTACTGTTGTTTCTCCAGCATCTCCAGCGATGGGACGTCTGTTGTTTGTAGGTCTGAAGGTGCTGAGGAGACTTCAGAGGTAGATGTAAAGGTTTTAATTGATGAATCAACTATTTCAGCCACAAAAAAGTTCAGATATGTGGTGAATCCTGAGGTGACGACTGTGAAGCCCAACTGTGGTTTTAGAAGGTGAGTCAAACCATTCAGTTTTTTTTATTTACTTTTAAATTGAGTCTTTAAAAGTAAATTTATAAATTTTTTACTATGTATTTTTTGGGGTCCTGCTACAATGAAGAGGATCAAAAATCACTATCATCGGGCAGAACCTGGACTCCGTTTCCCAAGCCGTAATTATCTACAAAGGCAGCAACACAACACCTGTGCAAACCGTAGGACTCATTTGTATTTTGAAGAGCCATGTTTAAATGTTTTAATTGTTTTAAATGTTGCCACTTATTGGATGCTGTACCTTAGGTGTGTGTTAGTCAAGGGAATCCCAACCAGATGGAGTGTACAAGCCCAGTATGTGAGGAGTCAACGGGAATCCTCTCTGTGGATCTGGATGGAGCCAAGGAACTCCTGCCTCAGACATTTACCTGCCATGCTAATGGAGAACCCATCCCATTTGAAACAGAAGGTCATGTGCTTGAGCTCAGCCCAGGACAGGACAAAGTCTCACTGCATGTACGTCTCAGTGGTTGCATATATTGTGTGGTTATATAGTCTCGTATATGGTCTGACCAGGCCACATGTCTTCACATGCTGTTTATGTAAAATATTTATATATAATATGTACAGGTGCATCTCAATAAATTAGAATGTCGTGGAAAAGTTCATTTATTTCAGTAATTCAACTCAAATTGTGAAACTCGTGTATTAAATAAATTCAATGCACACAGACTGAAGTAGTTTAAGTCTTTGGTTCTTTTAATTGTGATGATTTTGGCTCACATTTAACAAAAACCCACCAATTCACTATCTCAACAAATTAGAATACTTAATAACAAAATTTCTTGGTAAATGGGTGCAGTGACAAAAAACACAATGGAGCAACACCAGCAGATGACATTGCACCCCAAATCATCACAGACTGTGGAAACTTAACACTGAGTTGAATTACTGAAATAAATGAACTTTTCCACGACATTCTAATTTATTGAGATGCACCTGTATGTTATATACATATTATAAACACTACTGGTCAAAAGTTGTAGAATAATTATTCCAAAAAGTGGAATAATTAAGTTTTTTTTATGTTTTTTAAATAAATCTCTTATGTTCACCAAGGCTGCATTTAGTGATAGGATGTGATAGGATGAAATATTATTACAATTTAAATAACTGTTTTCAATGTTAATATATTTCAAAATGTAATTTATTTGCAATATTATTTGAATTTTTTTTCTCATCACATAAAGCATTTTTTTTTGGCTAGAATACATAAAATAGACAGACATAAAAAATAAAAACAACACAATGAATGATTTACTAAATTTAAATTATGACTAAAATTATGACATTCCAGATGTATTGTATCATAATCTAATCACATTTTTTATTCCAGCACAAAAAACTAGCCCTGGTGTCTGATTGCATGAAAATCATTATGACAATTAATGGAGTGGATTGCAAAGCTACAGTTCTGGACAATGAGGTCACCTGCAGGATCCCCAAAAATCTGACTATCCCTAGCCAGGGGGTGCCAGTTAAGGTCAGAGTCTGTCTATTGAATTCAGCTTTGATAAGTTCAAGTTGGCTCTGCATCTGTCATTCATGATGTGCTGCTCTGTCACGTGTGTTTCGCAGCTGTTAGTGAACGGAGAAGAATATGACATTGGTGTAGTAGTAACTACAAACAGCAATTTTATTGTGGGCATGGTGCTGTGCATCTTGGCTGCAATTGGCGTGGGAGCAGCTCTGGCTTACGTAGCCATGGCAAGAGAGCGCAAGAAAAGGAAATGTAAGTGCGTTCTGTCAAAATTACTCAAATATCTCCAAAATTAAATGATTATTTAATGTTGTAAAAATATTTTGTAACTATTATACTTTATAGCATATGTTTTAAAATATATGGAAAATATTTGCTTTTTATTATGATGATTTCTGACCATTTTAGAAAGCAGAATTTAAAAAATGGTGAATGTGCATGTAAAAAAATATTTGTTTGGTTAGCAGCTGCGCTTGCTCAGGTTCGACTATCGCTGCATTCAACTCACACTGCGGTGGAGAATTATGACAGATCACCTGATGGTGACTACAGAAGAGGTGAGACAACCTAAAATCCTGATCCTGAAGTTTTTTTTTTAAACATTTGAGACGTTCCTATAATTTAAAGAGTATGAAGCCCAACTTGGTACATTGTATCTTCATAAAGAGCATCCATTCTTTAATAAACATGAACTGTGCGTCCTGTAGGTCTGACGGTTTCTCCATTCCAAGGCTCGAGCACAACATTCTCCAGTCTGCCGTATGCTGGGACAATGGACTCTGCAGTAGCTCCTTTGATTCAATCTCAGGCAATCTCAATGTCCGCTCTCCGGCCAGATCTGTTGGAGGAGGTGAAGAATGTTTTGATCCCACATAATAAGGTTAAAATCCAGCATGACCAAATCATCGGCAAAGGTACATATTTTAGGGCAACGGCAATCCATCTGGATTTGCTACATTGCTTTTTCTCTTTCTTATAGTGCATTCTCTTTCTATTCCACACTCGCATATTTCTCAAATCTTTCTCAGGTCATTTTGGAACTGTGTATCATGGATATCTTACTGATAGTGATGAAAAAGAGACCCACTGTGCTGTCAAATCATTGAATAGTAAGTAAATTAATACTGTTAAATAGGGGTACACTAATAATAAACTTGTGGATGATACAATAAGCTGATAAATATTTTGTTATTTGTTTCATTATGTTACGGCAAATAACATAATAAAGAATAACAATCAAAATAAACTGAAAATAAACATAAAAAATTTAAATCTATCATTTAAAATTTTACAAGTGAAATTAGGCATTGGAATATACAGAACAAAAAAAATATCATTTTGAAATTACAGTATTTTATGTTAGAGTTTACTTGCATACAGCATTGTGATACCCAGCCATTATGGGGAAAAAACAGGAAATATGTTTTTCTTAATTTTTATTGAAAGGGATCACTGATCTGGAGGAGGTGGAGCAGTTTTTAAGAGAAGGAATCTTTATGAAGGCCTTCCACCACCCTCATGTCCTGTCCCTCTTGGGCATTGTGCTTCCCAGTGATGGACTTCCCCTGGTGATCCTGCCATACATGAAACACGGAGACCTTCGGCATTTTATCCGCTCTGCACAGAGGGTAAGCACATTCATTTTATACCATACTACAAATCGATCTCTTGCGTCTCTGGATCAACATAGCCCTGACCGAATCCTAATCCCTATCTTAACCATCAGAAATGATAGGTTGATGACTCAAACCCCTTGCCCCATCGTAAGCCTTATCATAACCATAATTTGACATAATTTCTCATAATTGTCACGGTGCGGTAAAGGAACACACCGTGTAAACAGGGGCCTGGGTCCAAATGCAGGCTTTTATTAACTGCAGGGGAAAACAAAGTAAAAACCAAAACAGAACACAAACAGATCTGAGAATCCGACACAGGCTCGAAACAGAAAACGGACTCCGACACAATACGGACACGTAGAGCTTCCACCGGAGCTTTGAGAGCGGACACCGCCGCCTCGGGGGAACTGCGAGCGAACACCGCCGCCTCTGGAGCCTCGTGAGCGGGTACCGCCGCCTCGGGAGGATCGTGAGCGGGCACCGCCGCCTCGGGGGAACTGAGAGCGGACACCGC